AATAAAGTAAAAGTTTGCCACCCTACAGGCTAGAGGCGCTCTCCTAACTATAAGCACAAGGCTAAGCTGATAAGAATTTATTACAGAAACCTACCTGTGCAGATATATCCCCTGACCGAATGATTAAATGCAATTTTGATCACCAAAATACACTCCTCTGTGAGATAATTGCGCATCCTTAAACAGTAACGCAAGCCGAGGTTATATACTGACTGTATTAATGCACGGGAACCTACATGACAAGGTCTGCTTTCTATTTTGAATATGAGGTCTAAGCTGATAAAATTTATTACATAAATCTATGCTAGGAATAACCTCTTTATTTTAAAATTTATAATGTTTGCAAAAAATATTCTTTTTCGGAGACATATTCGCCATTGCGCGAAGCAACATTTCAGACATGTCAGTTACGGCCAAAGAGAAAAGGAATGTAAATCATAGCTTCTGGGGAAACTGAGGAAACGCGGCAGGAAAACAGTCGAGGGCGTATGGAAAGAGAAGGAAGGCTGAGCGTGCGATCAATGGAGACAAGAGGAAGGGCGGCGGGATAAAGTAAGAGTTTTGCACCCTAACCTATCAGGTAGGCCTCTCTCCTAACTTATCAAACACAGTCACGATAAGAATTCATTACAGAAACCTACGTGCAGAATCCCCTGAATCCAATTATTAAATGCATTTTCATCACAAATAGTAACTCCTCTGGTACGATTTGCACATGCGTTAAAACAGAACGCAGCCCAGTTATATTATGATGTATAGCTGCATTGCGGGACCTTACATGCAAGTCTGCTTCCTATTCTCGAAAATGAAGGTCTACTGATAATAATTTAATCACATAAATCTATGCTTAGGATAACCCCTCTTCATTTTACATATTATAATGTTTGTTAAAATATTCTTCCTTCTCGGGAGATATTTGCGCCATGCGCGGAGCACGACATTTTAGACGTGGCCGTACACCAAAAAAATATGGCAATATAGCTTGCTGAGAGAGAGAGGGTGTAAAGCTGAGGAAAGTGCAGGGAAGACAGTCGAAGGCGTATGAGAGTGCAAGGAAGGCTGAGCGTGCGACAATGAAGACAAAAGTAAAGGCGGCCGGGGAATAAAGTAGGAGTTTTTGCACCCTACAACTAGCGCTTCCTTAACTATAACACATGGCTCTACGCTAATGAAGAACTTTATTACAGAACCTATGTGAAGATATCCCCTGACGTCATATTAATCATTTTATCACAAAATAAACTCCTCTGTGAGATATGCAGCCCTGGCGTAAAAACAGTAACGCAAGCCCGTTATGTACTGACTGATAGCATGCAGGCGCGAACTTAACATGCAAGTCGCTCCTATTTCTGAAGGTGTTATTAGAGTTCTACTGAT